GAATCATATATATAAGTCACAAATAAGATCTGAGCCCATCATTCATTTCTATGATGATGGGTATTTTTTAAGATACTTAATTTTAATTGCTGTGTGTGTTAAACTATTCTAGCATTGTTATACATCACTCTTACTCCCCCCCCCCCGCACAATAGTTTTCACTGTGGAGACTTAACGGTAGTGAAAAGATAATTTTATCTAATGGTAGCAATAATACTGTGGTAAGTCAGCTGTGATAAGATCAAGGCACATAAATCACACTCCCTTCCTCCCTCTTTTCTGATTAATATCACAGGGTCTTTTGCTGTGCAGGGAACAGAAATCCCACCTCCAGCTCTGGGGAATTGTATTCAGAAACACTTCCCTCTGCCTTCCCAAATTCCAGCAGAGATATCCACCACCATGCCCTTTGAAACATACTTGCCACAAAGGCAAGAAACTTGCTTTTTTTAAAGGAAGAAACAAAGCATCTAGCACAGAGGATCAAGATTGCTGCAACAGGGAGCAAAGTCTCAGTTGTGGTCCTCCAGGGCCATCAGCAATTTCCAAGTGATCCATGGGGGCGGGGTAAGTTTGGGAGCCATGGTTCTATACCAATAAGGGAAGCCACCGCTATGATTGATATATGTGGGAACCTATGATACCCTGCATAACTCCGGGTTGAAATATTCTTCTCAGTTTGACTCCACTGTTTGGAGGGGGTGAAATGCAGCAAAAATTCCTGGGGTGCTTTCTTTGCAAACTGGACAGCAACAAGTAGGGTTTCCACTCAGCCATGGGTCAGCCACTTCCTCTCAGCTTAACCTACCCCACTTGAGTCTTGTGGGGTTTAAATGAGGGGGAGGAGAACCATGCCTGCCACCTTGAGCTCCTCAGAGAAAAAGTGATATAAAAAACCCAATAAAATAAACAAACAAACAAATAAAATAGCATCAACTCCTGGAGTTCTACTCTTTCTGACGCAGGGCATTTTTATTTTTGTATAGGAAATGTTCTTTTTATTCCATGCTTAAGCATCTGAAAATAGTTCCCCTGCCACCAGTGTTGGCACACACATGCAGATTGTAAAGGAGGGTCACCTTTGGTTGAGAAGCTTTTAATGTTTAATAGGATATTGTATTTTAATGTTTTGTTGGAAGCCGCCTGGAGTGGCTTGGGAAACCCAGCCAGATGGGCGGGGTATAAATAAATTATTTATTATTATTATTATTATTATTATTATTATTATTATTATTATTATTTAGAGTGACTTAACAACAGCCCTGCAAAATAGTCCACTGTTACTATTGCAGGTCATATGTGAGACTGAGGCTGGTTTGGATTTCGAGCCCAAAGTCTGCCATATAAAACACCCTTCAGCTTGCAGCAAACGTCCAATTGCATAAATCGCTTCCTCGGTTCCTGCTCAGCCAAAAATCAGTGTTCAAACGCATGAAGAAGCATACATGTAGACATGCTGTGCTTTTGTTTTGCTTTCTCTGTTTGTCTGTGTTTATTAAAACCCCAAATTCCCTATTGTTTCCTACTGGCAACTCTCACTTCCACCTCAGGGGAAACCAAAAGGTATGCCCAAAGTGAACTGAGGAGCTGGGCTGCCTAACAATTACAAGTCTATGCATGTACTAACCAACAAGAAGATGAAATGTACATTTTCTGAACTCCCTTCCTTGTCAATCAGCACTCAGCTTATGTTCTTCTGAAAACTTTAGCTGAGGGGAAGGAAAAATCAGGTGTGCTAGCACTCTGCCTAGCTCTTCTGCTTCCAACACTTTAATTGGGTTCTTAAAATAAACCATTGCAAGGGAGGGGAATCTCAGATCCTGTTCGGAGATTTCAGGTGAGCCCAGTCTTTAAGCCAGTGAATAACAAGGCTTCTCCTGCCTAACCCCAGTTCCCATTACCCTCAAAATGATTTTAATCCTAGACAGGAATTTCTTTATGTATGCGACAGCAGCGGCAAGAATACTTATCGGGAAATACTGGAAGACACAAGAATTGCCTACCCGAGAAGAATGGCAGAGAAAAGTGATAGACTATATGGAACTGGCTGAGATGACCGGCAGAATTCGAGATCAAGAAGAAGGGTCGATGGAAGAAGATTGGAAAAATTTAAAATATATCTTCAGAAATACTGTAATATAAAAGAATGTTAGAAAAGGTTGGAGAAGAATATTAGACCGTATTGGCAGACAGAGTATAATGGAATAAGTAAATATGAAGTGTAAAATAAAGATAGAGGAGAGTTAAATACTTTCGAATGTTAAAATAAGTAAATGAAATGAAGGTTAGAAGGATTTGCTGGAGATACGATCCAAATTAGAATACAAAGCAGAGAAGTGAGAGGAAGTCACGGAAATAAGTAAATGGGAAAACGGCTTTAATGGTTGAATTTGATTTTTTGTTATTTTTTTGTTATTGTGATTTTTTGTCTTTTGTATTTTTCTTTGTACTAAGTGTTGTTGTTTTTTGTAGGAGGTATGTGATATGTTTTTCTTTTTTACTTTTTTTCTTTTTCTGTAATCTTAAAATTGGAATAAATATGCTTTTTAAAAAAAAATAAAATGATTTTAATCCTGAATCCTAAAGTACCACGTAAACAGCTGGGGAAAGGAGGAGGGCTGCTTTTATGCCCTAAAACTGGCGAAAAAAAGTTTGCACTGTGTTTAGTACATTAATTGTGTGTTGTTAATTTTGTTTCAGTGTTCCTGTCAGATATAAAAATACTTCTTTAGACGATTATTCTCCAAGTTTTCAAAGTAGTTGCCAAGAGCAGAAACAGACCCTCTGGCAGACAATTTGACATCTAAGGTTGTTGAGATGCAGTGATTAGGCAAATTGGCATAATATCCAAACTCGGCCATTGATTGAAGAGCTAGAACATGGCAATCCTAAATCAATCCCTTGCTCTTTGCTTTACACAGTCGCAGGTACTTAGAAAAAAACCAAGGGATTAATGTTTTCACACTCAGTATTGTTGGAACATAGTGCAGCATATCACCCTTTCAGAATTGTAATGAGAAAGTGTTGCTTCTAGTGTGTGTGAAACTCCAAATTATGTGCCTGGAAACAGCAGAGCAGACCAAAGGCCTTAATGGGAAAGAATGGGAAAAGAAATGAAGTCTCTTTCACAGGGACTAGTAAGATTAGACATATAAAATGACAAACACTGGGCAACCAGACAAGTAAACACCATTAATCTTTAAGCAGTATTTCTTTATGGGAGCCAAGAATTTAGGGAGACAAGAGACATTAAAAAAAAAAGACCCTGCAGATGGCACTCTTACACCATACATGGTTTGAAGAAACCAAAAGTGTTATTGTTTTTCTCCTTCAGCCTTCAGTTTGTATACTTTTAGGGTTATTTTATCCCGACAATGAATTAAAATATAGTCAATGCCTTACAGTTTTAAAGAGTTTCGTGTAATTGCCATGGATTCATTCATTCATTTGACCTAAGAGTTATACATAATCCCAAAGCAATAGACTGCAATTTTTAATTTAATATATTAACATGAATCAGACCAAGTGTCATACAAAGAAGGCTTTAAAATTATACAAATTAGATGACAAATTGCATGGTACATTGTTGGAGATGGTTGCAGATCAATTTTTAACCCATTTCCCTATTTAAATAAATCTGCATTTTGAGGGATAATTTTTATATCTCTTTCAGTGGCAGCACCTACAATGGCACAGCACTGAGTTTTCTGGAGTGTGTTATCATCAGCAAATGATTTAACAATACACATGTCTTACTCTTCTTTTCATCAAATGCCAACTATTTTGCAGGTGAGATCTTAAAAATAAATATATCAACAACAGTGCACCCTTCCTTGAACATGGATTCCTTTGTTGGAAAAATATAACAAGGCAGGAGACAGAATAGACATGCATTCTTCTACATTTTTAACCACCAAAAAAAGAAAAGAAAAGAAATCAATTTTGTGAACACATCTTGTCTGAAAACTATGCCAGCGAGTTCAATATCTGTTGGGCCTATTAATACATTCCCAATCACTGCCCTACTTTATCACAGGCAATTAGAGCCACAGTCCAATTTGGGCCACAGTGGTTTTGCACATTTATTCCCAAATCTTGTGCCATGGATATGAGCAGCAATCCAATGACCTCTTGTGCTGTCCGATAATAGTTTTATTCTTTACAAATGATTTACAGATCTGTGACAAATGATGCAGTGGAGAGGAGCCCTGGCTCCAATTATGAAACAAGATAAATTCCTGATTCCAGTGACCCACATACGTTAGCCTCCAATCTTAATAGCTCTTTGTCTCTAGGCTTTCCACTCTAATGCGGTTTCCTTCATTTCGGCTATAAAAATCCTCCAAAATGTTAAGCAATTCATTTCTGTTTCAGATTTCAAAGGACAGACCAGTTCCAATTATCACTATGTATATATTTTATCCCTCTCAATGCTTTGTGGCCTCTTTTCCAAAGGCACAAGGCACGGAAACCTTGATGGTGTCTATTCTAGTGCTAACATTATGTTTCGTACTCCACTTTTCCTATTATACATTGTGATATTTTAACCAAGGTGCACATAAGACTAGCTTCTCAGCATCCCCACAATCTTACAAGCAGCTATTGAGAGAATAAGCCCACTTTTTAGCATCCTTTTGAGCAATAGGAAAGGAATAATTTAACTTTTTGGCCATGAGTAGCTGAGACACTTGTTAGGCCTATGAAACTCATCACATTGTTGCTATTATTGTTTGATTTATTCCCTTTCCTTCACCCTAAGGTACCAGGGCCGGTCACACCAATTTATAAATACAGCATTAAGTACAATATTAAATATATATATATAATAGGATAGCCAATCTTGTGACAGCCAGATTACTGGCTGGAAGGAGCTAAGCCAATACACCTTGCCCCTAGTATGAAATGTCCATGCCAAGTTTCAAGAATGGAGAAAATATAATTATATGGAGCTGGGCAACATTGGACATGCATATTTATTTATTAAAGACCATTTCTAAACTGATAGCTCAGCTGGTTAGAGCGTGGTGCTGATAATGGCATGGTTGCAGGTTCAATCCCCGTATACGGGGGACAGCTGCCTATTCCTGCATTGCATGGGGCTGGAAGATGCTCAGGGTGCCTTCCAACTCTCCAATTCTATGAGCAACTAATAATAATACTGTATAGAGCTGTGTTGAATTTTTTTCAGAGAATTTTTTTTCTGACAATCTTTGAAAGTTCTGTTTTGCTTATGAAATGATTTTTTATTTTATTTTACAAGTATAAAATTATGAAAAAATAACATAACACATATCCATAATTAAGAGATTCCTCTGAATCTCTGGACTTCCCATGTTCCCCTCCATGGATTCCATTATTAAATCTTTTCTACTGCTTCTGTTTCAGTACTCCATATATATTTTTATAACGTCATTATCTTCGCAATACTTGTTACATTGAAAGTGGAATGCCCTCCCATCAGATGTCAAGGAAATAAACAACTATCTGACTTTTAGAAGACATCTGTAGGTAGCCTGTTTATGGAAGTTTTTCATGTTTGAAGTTTATTCTGTTTTTAGTCCTTTGTTGGAAGCCACTCAGAGTGGCTGGGGAAACCCAGTCAGATGGGTATGTATGTATGTATGTATGTATGTATACATAAATACATACATACATACATAATAAAGTGTTATTGCTATCCTGCTAATGTTCTCATCTGTTTACAGTAGTCTCCAAGATAAATTATAATTTTTTTCCCATTCCTTATTAAAGTTTTGGTCTTCTTTGTTCCTGAGCTTTCTGGTCAATTTTGCCATTTTGGCATAGTCCAACAATTTAATTTGCCATTCTTCTCTGGTAGGGACTTTATCTTCTTTCCAAGTCTGGGCTAGTAGCGTCCATTCTGCCAAAAGTTTTCTTTTTCAAGCTCCTCCAGAACTGTATGGGAAAACCATGCCATACAAATATTGCCTTTGCGTGCTCCCAGAGGAATTACTGGGAAACATGAACTAGTCCTATATTTAGGAGAACCTCTGCTGAAATTTCCATCTGCTCTAGAGCACCAAATGTAAGCAGGAGAAAGAGGCAGTCAAAGACATAGAGCAAACATGCAGCCATTTCAGCTTCAGCCGCTTACTAAAAGTCAGCCAAAGTCAGAATCTCTCACATGACTTCTAGAAGAGCATTCCAAGAATCTGGAACAATCAGCAACCACCAACATACAGTATATCTAAGGCCAATACCTATGTGTAAAGGTAAAGGACCCCTGACAATTAAGTCCAGTTGCGAATGACACTGGGGTTGCGGCGCTCATCTCACTTTACTGGCCGAGGGAGCTGACGTTTGTCCGCAGACAGTTTTCCTGGGTCATGTGGCCAGCATGACTAAGCCGCTTCTGGCAAAACTAGAGCAGCACATGGAAACGCTGTTTACTTTCCCGCCAGAGCGGTACCTATTTATCTATTTGCACTTTGACGTGCTTTTCAACTGCTACGTTGGCAGGGGCAGGGACCGAACAATGGGAGCTCACCCCGTCACGGGGATTCGAACTACCGACCTTCCAATTGGCAAGCCCTAGGCTCAGTGGTTTAGACCACAGCACCACCCGCGTCCCTAGCTGTGTGTAGGGATGCGAAAAATGGTCCCACTTATTTTCAAAGCTATTTCTACCTGTCATTTCATGTTCAGTCTACTTATTTCCAAAAATGGATATGTGGTTTTTGTAGTAGCAAGGATTGCCCCCCTTCCATTATTTTCCCTCCAACTTGTGCATCACATGCAAATTGTCTTAATTTTGCACCATTCTCTGTTTAAGAGTAGAGAGACCTAGCTTGACTTGCATTCTCATCCCTTCAAAAACAGAAGGCCTGGCTTAATTGCACATAATTCCTCATTTTAAAACTGAAAGATTTCATTTACCGATGAACAGTTTCACATAGATAACCACAGACTTGCCGTAATTGTGACATTATTTCCCATTCATTGTTTCTTGTACCGGTTTAAATTATTGCTTGTATATCAGTTGCTTGTTCAGAATACCAATCTGCAACGGGTAAATACGCCATTTTATGAGGAAAGTTAACCATAACTGATATTCATGACATATTTACTTCAGGGCACTCTAGGGATTATCAATGTGGACATGATACCCAATTCATTTAACACCTAAAAGGTTACTGTGATTCAAAAGTATTTTACGGTTTGCTTTTGTTGTGCTTTTAAGTTATAAATTAATAGTATAACGCATTGTAGCCTTATCTAGGGCAATTTTTCTTACTGGCAGCCCCCTACCCCATCTCCCTTTATCAGAGCAGAATGTAATGTTGTTGTTAAGTCAGTAACTAACTGTGGTTTTATAAAGCAAATATATGGCACACGTGGGGATTTCTTTTTCCATCTCAGGTTTGTTATGTACTGAGATATTAGGTATAACCATTTATTTTCGCATCCTTCCTGTTGCTTGGCTACTGAATACAGTTTTCTACTCTGAAACTCCAATTGATCCTAAATTCTTCAATCTGGCCATGTGATCTGATAGTCACTATTTTCAGACTAACCAATACAATGTGGGCACAAAAACAAAATAAAGCAAAATAAAGCATTCTCCTACCAGATTGAGTCAGAAAGTGTAAGGCTCCAAGTCATCTAAAGGCCATTCATTGCTGGAAGTAGGTACCTTAGCCAGATGCAGAACTTCAAATGCAAATCTGTGCCACACTTGTAATCTTATCATCCCATCTGTTTAAAAATCACTGATAACAGCAACCTGTTGCTTGAGAAGAATAGAATTAGCACCTCACACAAACCCTTCCTCACTGGTATAATCACTGCCTTTCCAATAGAATATAGCCGATTTAAATATTTCAAATTGTTATTTCATTTCATCCCCGTTACAGGGCCAGAAACCTTAAGAGTGCATAAAATACAACAAGCACTTAAAACCATATAAAACCAGCACACCATACTTCAAAGTTTACATAAAAAGCAGCAGAGATAAACTAAATTTAGTCAGTGCATGCTTTACAAAAATAAATAAACAAAATGAAGAGTCTTAACTGCTCTTTGAAAAAGAAACAAGGACAGCTTCCTCTATTGCGGGGCGGGGGTGGGATTCTGTAAGAAGGGTGCTACAATCCAGACATCATGACCCATTTTCCCCTGAGAAAATTACAGCATCTCTGAGCAAGTGTTGAACGCATTGATATGAAGCAGTTGAAGTGTAATGTTTCGGTAGTAAAACCCAGTGACAAAAATGTAACAGGTGGAAAACTTGGATGTTTTGATCCCAGTTCTTTCAGTTAGTGTTCTTTGATTGAGGGCAGATCATTTAACTTCTCTGAGATTCACTTAATTTACCCACTGGGCAACGATGATAAAAGCAACACGATGGTAATAATGTCCATTTGCAACAGGACACAGGAATGGAGATGAGATATATAAAATGGATGGTCCTAAAAGCATATTTTATTGATAGCCTGGGAAATGAGAAATGTTGAAGACTCATCTCAAATATCAACCTTGGGTGAGCCAAACCCTGCTCATATCCAGGAGCATGTCAAGCCATAGCCCCAGAGATTGGATCTCACCTTCCAATGAGTATGGAGTCATCCTGCTCCCCCCCATCCCAAGTCCCACAACTCTGGAAGGTTCAGTAGGCTTGCCTCAAGAATATTCCGCATTCAGGCCAAGGGCCTACAAACCCAGGCAGCTGGCCTCTGGAAATGGCCCCCAGTTCTGCCCCATTAACTTTATACCTTCCTGCCAAATAATGCACCAATTAACCTGCTTAACAGCAGCCACCCACCCCATTAACTGTCCCACCCAGCCATGAATACAGACTAGACTGGAGAAAACCTGCCCAACTTGGCCAATCTGTGGACAGGCAAAGCATCGTTATTCATCCCTGAAGTGGCTGCAGATCCTGCACGGGAAATGAGGGTGGGCTGGGAGCTGAAAGGCCGCTTGTCCTACAGCCATGGCATCTGATACAAACACTGACATGTACATGTCCTGGGGTTGCTGCATCTTGTGTCCCCTGGCGAGCCTCAAATGACACTTCCATGCTAAAGTGTTGCACAGCCAGAGGAAGCAGAATTGTGTAGAATTTGCAGGGCGGTAAGCTTTAATCAATTTCACTGTAAGAACTTCCACTGCTGATGCTAATAATATGGATCTCTGTTCAGTACCTGTACAGTGGTACCCCGCAAGACGAATGCCTCGCAAGACGAAAAACTCGCTAGACGAAAGGGTTTTTCGGTTTTGCGTTGCTTCGCTAGACGAATTTCCCTATGGGCTTGCTTCGCAAGACGAAAACGTCTTGCGTTTTTTTTTTAAAGCCACTTGAAGAGGCGCAGTTGCGACGGACTGTGCTTCGCAAGACGAAAAACATCGCAAGACGAAAAGACCCGCGGAACGCATTCTTTTCGTCTTGCGAGGCACCACTGTATAGGGGACCACTGAAGCCCAATGAAAACTGCACTGAGCTTTGTAAGGAAGAACAAGAGCTATAACTTTGTATCCCCCCCCTCTCTCCCTTAATCTCTCTCTATTGACTCAGCTACATTAGTAAAAAACAACAATGCTTTGAATGCATTATAAACATGCAACATCAGAGGACGCCACAGAGCAAACAAATTTCCTATGAGATTTTTACATGTGGTTTCCACCCCTTTTGTTGTCACAATTTAATTTTTGACTCCTTTATAGCACACACACACACACACCCCGTGTGTATATCCATCCTATGTGTGCATCTTTGTGTATTCATTTCAGGATAAACCTTTACGGCATTCCTCCTCTCAAGAAGAGCTACAGGCTCAATAGCATGTAGCATAGTTTTCTGGTGATACTATTTTTCTCTCTCATTTGCCTCACCAACTCTGTTCCTGGTACTGTACCTCGAAGAGGAAAGAGTAGCGCAGTCACCTTTAAAACTTTCTAATCAACAATGGAAAAGCCAAGATATTTTGTACCTACCTTCCCTTGAACTGCACATGCATCTAAAGATTCTCCTTTCCTTGGAGAAAAAAACTCAGCTGAAATGCTGAGGCATTAGCATCCATGAGGCTACAAAATGGGCTCGATTCCAATTTTAT